TATCAAGCTGCCATAAGGCCCAGCACCTCCCCCTGTCTTCAGGCTGGACAAGGCAATACAGTGTGAGGAGTAGTTTCCCAGTCAAAGCACTAGGGACAACCCCTTCTCCCATTGCCAGGAGTCCTACAAATAGAACAAGTTACTGTCACATATATGCAAAGGGTCTAGGTCAGTCCTATGCAGTCTCCCTGATTGTTGGTTCAGACTCTGTGAGTTCCAATGAGCCAGGCTAGCTATTATTGAGGGTTTTCCTGTGATGTCTCTGATATCCCCACCCCATGCACACTCTTCCATCTTCTTAGCAGGACTCCCTGGGCTTGGTTTAATGTTTGTCTGTGGGTCTCTGAATCTGATTCCATCAATCTCTGGATGAAGACTATCCAGTGACCACCAGTGTAGGTCACCAATCAGATCACAGGGGATGGCCTGTTCAGGCTCTGCATCTACTACTGCCAGGAAGAATCTTATCTGGGGCCATCCTGGTAGACTTGTGGGAGCTTTTCTTGCATCAGGCTTCTATCTGACCCCAAACTCCTTTCCAGTCATCTCTCTCAGTACTCTCCCTCTCCACCCATCCCCCAACCCAATCTGTCAAGTTCTCATATTCACCTACCCTCAGTCCATCCAGGAGATCTCCCTATTTCCCCTTCCAGGGACATCCGTGCATCCCCTCCTTGGACCCGCCTTGTTGCCTAGCCTTCCTGGGTCTGTGGACTATAGCATGGTTATCCTTTACTTTATAACTAATATCAACTTATGAGTGAGTATATACCATGTTTGTCTTTCTATGTCTGGGTTACCTCATTCAGGATGATCTTTTCTCGTTCCATCCATTTGCCTTCAAATTTCATGGTATCTTTATTTTTTTTAACAGTGGAGTAATACTCCATTGTATAAATGTGCCACATTTTTTAAGTCATTCTTCAGTTAAGGGGCATCTTGGTTGTTTCTAGATTCTGGCTATTATGAATAACGCGGCTATGAACATAATTGAACAAGTTTCCTTGTGGTATGATTGATCATCCTTTGTGTATATGCCCAAGAGTAGTATAGCTAGATCTTGAGGTAGATTTATTTCCTAATTTTTTGAGAAACCATATTGATTTCCAAAGTGGCTGTTCAAGTTTATACTCCCACCAGCAATGGAGAAGTGTTCCCCTTTCTCCACACCCTATCCAGCATAAACTGCTATTTGTGTTTTTGATCATTCTGACAGGTGTAAGAATCTCAGGGTCATTTTGATTTGCATTTCCATGTTGGCTAAGTAAGAATGATGAACATTTCTTTAAGTGTTTCTCTGCCATTTGAGACTCTTCTGTTGAGAATTCTCTGTTTAGGTCTGTACCCCATTTTTAAATTAGATTATTTGGTTTTTTGATGTCTAGTTTCTTGAGTTCTTTATATATTTTGGAGATCAGCCTTCTGTCAGATGTGGGGTTGAAGACCTTTTCCCATTCTGTAGGCTGTCATTTTGTCTTACTAATGGTATCCATTTGTAACGAGTATGGTTTTTCTGCCCGCCGACGCCCGGTCTTGTCCTGCCGCTGCGCCAGCCCCAAATAACACACAGAGACTCTGTATTTGATACAATACTGTTGGCCTGGTTACTTGTTTCTTATCTGCTAGCTCTGCCTTAATTATTAACCCATTTCTGCTGATCTATGTATTTCTCTTACCGGGGAGCCGGCGGCATACTGCTTTCTCCAGACTCTCCATCTTGACCCTCCTTCCTACTTCCTATTTCCTCCTTGTCTCCTAGTCCCTCCTATCTTCCTTTCCTATTGGCCAACAGTGCTTCTGTTCCATGAAGTCCTATTTATTAATTGTTGATCTTAGTGTGTGTGCTACTGATCTCCTATTCAGGAAGTTCTCTCCAGTACCAATGCATTCAATAGTCCAGGTTCTTGCCAAAAGTCCTTGTAAATACTTTTTATAGTGAGTGTTTACAACACAAACTGGGATTATAATGTTTTTTGAGACAGGCTGTCCTGTCACCCAATCTGGCTTCAAACTAGCTATGTATCCAAGAGTGACCTTGATCTCCTGATTGTCCCTCCTCTTTTCAGATGTGCCATGTACAACAGAGGTGCCCTGCTGTGCCTGATTTTTATCCCCTTCCACCCACTTGATTGTTTTTAAAACAGTATCTTGCTACACTACATTGGTTATCTTGGCACTCACTTGATAGCTCAAGTTGACAAACTTACAGTGGTCTCGGACTGGAATGGTGGCTCAGTGATTAAGAGCTGACTTCTTTGAGGGGACCCAGGGTCAATTCTCAGCACCCACATAGCAGCTCACAACTTTCAGTAACTCCAGCTCTGTATCAGTTGCCCCGTTCTAGCTTTGTCATGTACCAGTGTGGTCACCAGGACCACACATACACATAAACACCAAAAAAAAAAAAAAAAAAAAAAAAAACCATGAATGTGTTTAAAAAAAAAAAAACCACAACCACATAGTTCTTTTGATGCTCCCTTTAGAATTCACATTACAAGGAAAGTATATGCTAAGCTGGCTTGTTTGCTGTTGTGATTATGGACTCTCGCAGATTTTCAACAGGGAAAGTGCTGAGTTTGGGTATTACTGCTATCCTAGAGAAACAGCATGGAAACTAGCTGGAAGGCAAAAAGATTTCTAAGCTTTGCATTACAAGACAGAAGTGTCTTCTAAGGCATTTGTATCTGACTTGTTAGAATCAGGATGTCCCCTAGAGGCCATAGAAGAATCTAGAAACTACCGACATTTAAAGCAATTTTAGCTTCTCTATAATTCTTTCGTTCTGGTCCTATTTGTGGTTTGAATAAGCATCCCTGAAGGCTCATATGTTAAAGGTATGGCCCCAGTCTGTGAGGTGCCTGAGCTTTTAAGGGGCTGGGTAGAACATATAGCTTAGTGGTATAAAGTGAGGTCATGGTTAAGACCCTGGACTTGGTCCCTAACCTCCCAAAAAAATGGAGGAGGAGGAGGGAAGAGGAGGAAGAATGGGGAAAGAGGTGAGGAGAAAGAGAAAAGAAGAAAAAATAACACCTAGAATCTCATAAGAAGTTTCCTGGCCCTTGAGTATATACCCTAAACTAGATCTTAAGACTCTAGTTCTTTCTTCTCTCTTTCATGGGGTAAGTGGCTTTGCTCTACCATGGGATTTCCACCATGCTATACAGCTTTGCCCAAAGGCAACAAGTCTAACTGAACATGTACTAGAACCTTTAAAACTCTGAGCCAGAAGGAATATTTTCTCTCAGTAAGTTGAGTATCTCTCAGGTGTTTGTTATAGTAACTGAAAACTGACTAACAATATTCACACAGGCAGATTGATTTTGTTATTTTCCTTCTTAAGTTTATGCTCAGTTTCCCAACTTTATTCACAATCCCCTAAGTACAATGACTTTTTTTCATAAACGTTTTGCATCCTTATGACTTGGTACTATCCATAGAATAGTCCCTAGAAATAAAGGTAACCTTTTCTCCCTAGGAAAAACATTCACAGCTTCCCTGTTTCCCAGATACTTTCTAAGAAGGTGTTTATATTTAAAGAGTAGCACATTCACAGTTTTATCAACAGGAGTTGTTAAAGGTGTCCTGATTTCCAGTGGCCTCTGTTTTCTTTGCTGAGAAATAGTTGATAAAGTATTTACAGTAGATGTAAACAATGCTGATCAAACAAAGGAATTTTTTTCCCACATAGAACATGTGCTTTTCATGCAATGCAGTATAAGTCTTTCTATGTGGCTTCACATAGGAGTGGGGACTGTGCCTAGCAAGTCACAGATGTTGCCCGGTGAGATCTTCTGAACAGTACCCAATAGGCTTTTGAAAATATTTGATTCTATTTTATGTATATGAGTGCTTTGCCTGCATGTATGTATGAGAACTATGCTCATGCTTGGTGCCTGTGGAGGTCAGAAGAGGGTCTCAAGTCTTCTGTAACTGAGGTTATGGATGGTTGTGAGCCACTATGTAGGTGCTGGGAACCAAACCCAGGTCCTCTACAAGAGCAGGAGGTACTCAGAACTACCAAGCCATATTTCTAGCTGCCATACAGGGGGGTTTAGACAAGGGGGCCTAAAGTCGCTTTCTATATGATATTTTTTATGTTAGTAAAAGAGACAAAATCTAATTTTTTGTATATGGTAATAAGCTGTATCCTTCAAGAATGGAAAAAAACAGTGCCCCTTCTCCAAGCCCCACCCCCACAAATCCATAGGGATGACACTATTATGTCTCTCATCTGACCTGTTCCTTCGGGCATCTGGATGTAGACAAGAGCCCAGTATTTGCTCTTTCCCCATAATTTAACACACCTGGAGCTACACATCTAATCTTTGTTACCGGTTACTTTAAGACAATGTGAATTCAAGCCATTATGTGACTTCAGCAAGATTATGTTTATTAACCAAGGCTACATATTATTGTGGTGTTTAGGCCAGCAGCATGAAATACAATCTTTTTAACTAATAGATAGGTAGATAGATATATATCCCCACAAAAAGAATACCTACAATGTTAAAATGAATCTGCGCATCAATGTTCAGTCTTTTTTTTTACCTTTTTTTATTAATTTATTTTCTATATTCCAATCCCAGTTCCCCCTCTCTCCTTCCCTCCCACTTCCTCCACTCATCCCCTCTTCCCATCTGCTGCATGGGGAGAATAAGGCCTCCCCTAGGAAGTCTACTAATTCTGTCTCATCATTTAGTTGAGGCAGGAATGTCCAGTCTTAATAGCTGCAGGTTGATGTTTGTTTCCCTCACTGTAATCTACCATGTTCTTTACTATGCTACTTTGTTCTGTCTCTTTCCCTAATTAGACTGGCAGAAAGTAAAATTTATTCTTAATTAGAAAAAAAATTGTGTTTTTTTCCTCCCACACAAATCACAAATCTATATGAAGCAATAAAAATAAAATGATAGTGTGATTTCCAAAAGTGGAAAAAAAGCTGACTCTAACTTACAAAAGAATCCTGTTAACTGTTTTAAAACACATTCGCGTGTACTTACCATGGGTTCTGATAACGGTGGGTTAGCTTGTCAATCGCATGGAGACTTAGTTCTCCAAGCTGTAAAAAGAGGAAAACTAATTCAGTGTTATTCCTTGGTAGATAGGGACCCACGAGTCTAAATATCTATATTCCTTCTCTAAGGGAAGTCAGGTTGAAAATAGAGTAGGAATGCTAAATTTAGTTAAAAGAAATTTAGTGGGCACCACTTACCTGGGGTTGCTTGCCCTGGACCAGGGAGAAGAAACCATGGGTTGGCCAGGAAGGTGCCATTATGGTGAGCCAATATGTGGTTGTGTGGGGGAAATAGAGAGAGGCATAATGGCTCATGTCCTGTGAAGAGAGGCAGATCTGAAGAGGTAAAGGAGGAGAGGAAGGGGCTGCTTGTCACCCTGGGCCATGGAGACATCCAGGCCTTGGCTGTCATTGAGGGCTATGTCTGGGTCTGTGGTCCTTCCGCAGCCAGGGTCTGTGTTGCCATCAAAGGCCACAAGGATGCTGGGATTCTGGAGCACCACCTGACCATGTTGGGGTCTGAATGACATGCTGCTGCAGGGTCATGCTGAGATGAGTGGCCTGTGCTGCCATCCAGGGCCATGACAGTGTCTTGACATGAGCTTCAGCAGAGGGCCATGTCTGGGTCCATGGTTCTACCACAGCCAGGGTACAAGTTGATGTTTTTGGCTCCTGTTACCACCAAAGACTGTTCAGATGCCCAGGGTCTGGGCTGACACCCGAGAGCATGTTGGTGTCTGAGAGTCAGGCTGCCTCCAGAGCTATACAGATCAGGGTGGCCTGCACTGCCACCTGGGGTCATAGTGACATCAGGGCCCAAGTTGCAGCCAAAGGTCATGCCTGGGTCCGTGGGTTTGTATATTGATGTCCATGGTTCTGCTCCTGTTGCCATTCAGGGATGTGAGGCTGCCCAGGGTCTGAGCCAACACCTGGGGCCAATTTGGAGTCCTGGGACCATATTGCTGCTGAGCCTATTTGGATCTGAGAGGCCTGAGCTGCCACCCATGGTCACGGAGACAACTGAGCCCAAGCTGCTGCTGCTGCTGCTGCTGCTGGTCATGTCTAGTTCCATGGTCCTCATGCAGCTGGGGTCTGTGTTGATGTCTATTGCCCATGTTGTCACAGGGGCCCATGCAAACCAAGTGTTGAACAATGTGTTGTATTAATTTTTTTTATTTTTATTATTTTTTCTTAAGTTTTCCTTGGAGGCGGGTATGGAAAGACTGGGAAATGAGTAGGATTTGGGTGCATGATGTAAAATTTCAAAGAATAAAAATTATGTTTAAAATTTAAAGAAAGAAAATCAGTGGAGATGATCACTGCTGCTTCCTGACCTGAGAGAAAGCTGTCACGAAGAGCTCCACTCCCTCTGTATGAATGGAAAGAGCTGCCAAAAGGGCCTGGGGACTGGCCAGGGTCCCTGACTGTTCCCATGTCTTTGTGACTCTGTAAGGAAGCATCAGTGTGGACTATCAGTCATCATTTAAATGGGCAGTTGAGGGCTCTTCAGAGTTAGCAAATGTGACAGTAGAGTAGGAAAGAGCTAGCATTAGATTCCTATAGCAGAGCTGAAAACTCAGATCATTGAGAAATATCAGTTTCACATTAAAAAAAAAAACCATGAAATCCCACACCCTCCCATGTACACTTGAATGATGTATTATTCCTGAATGATCTCTATGTTCCAGCTCCTTTCCTCCACCTTATAAAGAAGCTCGGAAACAAGGGTGTCATGTTCATATTCAGAGGGGTTTAGTTACAATCACTTCTCAGTTTTCTGTACTATGGTTGGAAAGTTATAATATGAAATATGGAAAAGTATTTTGCTTCTGCTTTGGAATGCATTTTGAAAATTTATATTGACAGGAAGTGCCAGGTTCACAACAGCTCAAAACCAGCAGTAACCATGAGTTGCAACTGGCAACTCTGGTGTTCTCACATCGTCCCTCTCCCCTCCTCTTGCCCAAGCTTTGGCTTGGAGTGACTTTGCTGCTAGCCTGCCTAATAGTAGTTTGTGCTCTATTTCCTTAATGTACCTGCTTGCTCGGGTGACCCACACACAGAAAGCAAGTATGCAATGGAAGGGGTCAGATAAGAGTTCAGTGCAGAGTTGCCCTTTAGTCAACAGACAATGTGGAAGTCGTGATCTTCAAATGATGGAAAGGTCATGGTATCCATTGATTCCTAGCATACAATTCCTTGAAAACCAAATTTACACACTAATTCTTAAGTGATTGTATTATATTCTTTGCGAGCGATCATCTTTGATATTTTGCTACTCAGTGTTTAACAACAGAAACATGACATCTTCTTTTCAGTAAATTCTCTTAGAGCTACAAGTGTTCGTGTCAAAAATGTTATGTTATCTTAAATATGCTCACCCTTTTGTATTTTAATTTACTAACAACCTGTAGACAGAGGTTTTTGTCCCAACTTGTCCCTCAGTCCCTTAATCCCAAATAAACACAGAGAGGCTTATGTCAATTATAAACTGTTTGGCCAATGGCTTGGGCTTCTTGTTGGTTAACTCTCTCTTAATAAACCCATTTCTATTAAGCTATGTATTGTCATAAGGCTATGGCTTACCCATAATGCTCTAGCATGTTACTCCTTTGGTGAATACATGGCGTCTTCCCAGTGGCTCCTCTCTGCCTTCCTATTCTCAGCATTCTCCTAGTATGGTAGCTCCACCTATACTTCCTGTCTGGCTACTGGCCAATCAGCATTTATCCATCAACCAATAGGAGAAACATATTCACAGCATATAGAAGGACATCCCCTACCACACACTGTGATTTATTTGAGTAGGCATGCTCACTGAGGTGTTAAACTTGAAAAGAACTCACAATCATATGAAACATTTATATTGGCCCATTATTCATAACAAGGAAAATGTTGATCAACAGATTAGTTGCTAGGGCTGTTACTCAAGGGTAGAACATTTGCCCTACAGGCACAAGGTCCTACATTTCTTCCCAGAACTACAGATAAATAAATAAGAATCTAATATTTTTATATAATCCACTAATAAATTATGTTTTTATGAAATTTGTATATATCCTTTGCAATTTTTCAATTAACAAATATAGTTAAATGTCTAAATTAAACATATACTATGAACCATGTTTAAATAAGTCTAGAAATAGTAAAAAGGAAATGCCTGCTAATAAAAGCTTACCACTGTGAGCTAGACAGATTTTCTAAAGGAATAAGTCTGCTACATTTGAGTTTAATTGATTGCATACATTGCCATTGTTTCCAACTCCCCCTTTATTTTCAGTCCACCTGTAGTATAGCCCTGCCATACTCACGTGATCTTTGAGATTAGTTTTTAGAGGAATCCTTGCTTTGCTATTATATTCCACAATGCTTTTTCTAGGATATCTGATTTAGCTTTCCTTACTGGAAAGGACCACGTTCTCCATTTCCGCAACTATGGGCTGGTTTTGTGTTTTTTAATCAGTAGAACATATAAAATGTGATGTATTTCGAGAATGTGTACACACTAAGGTTTTCTCCTCCAACCTCCTTCCTTGGTAACACTGGGCTCTCAGTACCAAACAGTGGAGTGGAAAAAACCCCTCTGGCTACCTTTTGTTATGCTAATGTGTTTGTTCTCTATTTGCCTCAATTTGCAAAATATTACTATTAACCCTTTAGGTGTCTTTCTTCCCACAGCCAATGATAAGCACCCTCATTGTTGTGACTGAGCCATTCAACTGCATAATGTTGCCCATTTTAGACTGAAATTATTGAATCAAGAAAGGCGTAAAGGTCTTTGCAAGAATGGGGCATCTGAAGTATTCATTTTATATTCAGTGCAAGGGTTGAAACAAGACAATTCCTTCTAGAAAATGTCAGTGTTTAAGGCTTAGATTCTGTGATGCATGTTTCTAGTCGAAAGAGAGAGAAAGAGAGAGAGAGCACAATACAGAGACCTGAATTTTGTTTTATGCCCTGTGATAGATGAGCTTGAGTTCTGACTGCAATGTTTCAAATAATTTGAACTAATTAATCAATGTTAAGCAAGCAGTAGACACTGGGCTTTGTGAGTTTGCTAATGATAGAGCCGGAATTGCTACTTCCTGTTGTGTATTCAGGTGGTGTGCAAATTCTATCATATTTCTATGGTGCTTATAACACTACAGTTTTAAAAGATGGGCAAATATAAACATGAGTGCCCCTAGATGTCATTTGTAGAGCCCTGCTGTGTGGAATACTGTGCCAGCACCATACACACGTACCTCTTGTAATTCAGACAACCATGAACTGAGGGGTTGCCATTAGCCCAGTGGTAGGCAGAGTTCCAGTGGTCCCCAGAATTCTCATTTCCTAGTAAACACACTTTCTTCCAGATATTCAATCAAATACTCACCCAGGGTGTCAATGTTGAGGGATTTTGTAAGTATAATCAAGACCCTAAATTCTTTGAATTTAAGAAAAGGAAATGTGTCCAGTGTGGTGACATAGGCCTGTAATTCCACTTGGGAGGTTAAAGCAGGAGAATAGTAATTTCTACTTCTGCCTAGGCTACAGAGTGAGTTCAAGGTCAGTCTCAATAACTTAGAGAGACCCTGCCCCCAAACAAAAAGTTGGAAAGAGACTGGAATGAATGTAGCTTTGTTATGGGACACTTGGCTTAGCATCATGCATGAGGCTATAGGTTTAATCTCTATTACACAGGGGTGGGTGTGGGGGAGAAGAAAGGGAGGGAGGGAAGGAGGGAGGGAGAGAGAGAGAGAGAGAGATTTAACTTCAGTAAGCCTAACCTAAGCAACTGGGCTCTTAGAAAACCCTAAAGTTCTTGACAAAGGGGCTGCAGCACTGAGGGGTACATGACCTGAGAAAGATTTCCTTAATAGCCTTAAGGGTTAAAGAGTCATGTGGTTAGGAGTTAGGGACTTCTCCAATTGAGAATGGCTCCTGGCTAATACCCATCCTTACAACCACAAGGAAGCAGAGTCTGCCACAACCATAGGAATTTGAAAGAGATGATAGAGATACTCTGATGCCAGCTGTGGGAGACCTGAGCAGCAAGGCAGCCA